GAATGTACATGGAGTTACAATTTAGATTTACCTCCCCTTTGCTACGACAGTTCCTCAAAAGAAAATTAATCATCATAATATCATCATATTATGATGTGATATTGTAATAAATGACAACATATATATAGTTAAATTCAAGATGTCCTTAGTAATTGTAAACGAGTACAAAATAAAAGTATATCTATTAGATATTCCTTTAGATGTGGGAATGCTTCTTGATTTGTATCTTTTGTATATTTTAGTTTATTTAAGAATCATTCTCCTGTAGGAGACTCCCATACTCGACTGATATGGATGCTGACATCTGTTTTTACAAAAATAAATTTCTATAAGAAAATTGAAGACATAGGTTTTTAATTGAGGGGATATGGCTTACTATTTTTGAATAAGCGTTGAGCTAGAAGGCTAATATATATAGAATGGAATTAAAATCTTTGATTTACTATGAACACCATTCATCTGTGGGGTTGTGCTATTTTCATCGATACATTTTCTTTTGTAACCAGGAGATGCCCTGTTTTTTCATTCGAACGTCTTACATATGAGTGACCCTAATGACAGTAATGACCGTCGTTGGGCCCTCATCATGGCCTACAACCGGGCCAGTAATAACCCAGTGGAGAGGCTGGCTGCACCCTTCCCAAGATACACGCCAACAGTGAAGGTAGTATCTATAAACATAGTTTCATAAAATCAGGGTTATATTTACAGTATATTTTATGATAGAAGTTTTAAAACGCTCTTTTATTGTATATGGAACAATTTATATTTTGTGGAACATTTGAAAAGCTGTTAACATTTCAAAACTAATATCGTGTATAACTTAAGTAAAACTTGTTAAGTTCTATACTGATTTTGAAGACTTTTGGAACATTCTATATAATTTATAGCATCATAGTTTTATTTGTACCTTTGTGTTTCTTTTCTGGAACAGGTTCCTAACTCAGCCATATTGAGCTGTACCAATGTGAGCGACTTCTCAGGAAAAGCGTTCCTGAATCCCATGGATGACAAAACTGTAAAAGCTGACACCAACAAACAAGGCAATCTTCAAAAGGCATAGTCACAATGTGATCTTGATGAAGATTTTGTCCTGGAAAATATGAATCATAATGAAAAGAAAGACTAGATATATATACCTTGCTTCCTAATGCCCTTCTACAGGATGAACATATATTATATTATGGCATTGTCTGGCTGTCTGGCTGTCAATAGCATCAACATCAACAATTTTACCTACATTCACCAAACTTGCTTTACTCATGTATCTTACAAACACGGAATGTCACATACAAAATTGCTTCTAGTGCCATAGAATGATAGCCCTTCGTTCATTTTTATTCCAAAGTTTGTTTGGAGCATGGCTCCACGCTTTTCCACATACGTTCATACAAGTTGTGTACATTTATATGAAATGGTGGGAGTGACACACATTTATTTCATGTCCTATGCCCCATTATATTTAGAGCATGATAGCCTGTCTATTAAGTTTTTACATTATTATCCATCTTGTGCATACTTAGATATATTTGCCAATTCACCAATCATTTTCCTTTTGTTTTTCAATAGTTTTATTTCCTCAGCCTGTAGATATGTATATAACATTACTTTAAGTATTTCAATATACATATATGCTTTCTTTGCTGGATATTTCCAGGGTTGAGTCTGTAACATTCCTATCGCTCCTTCAACCACTAAACATTATACAGTTAGTCTTGATTCAAAATTAGATGTTACAGGGCAAGTGACAGGCGCATTCGCTTCTTATGTACAGTTATTAGTCATAGAAGCTCTGATAAGGAGAATTATGAATGTTAAACTTGGTAACCTGAAATAGGTAAAATGTACATCTGCCTTTGTGAGAAAATACTTCTGGTTTAGGCCCTAAGTTGTGCTCAATGCCAGTATTCTCATAATTGTTTAACGTTTTGTAAGTTTAAATCACAGGTGCTGTAATGTTATATAATGGTGCCTGATAACAGGCTTCGGTTTCACAAGACACCATAATTAGGATTTGTTCCTTAACTTAAATTTCCACAATTAAACGTAAGCTGAGGATTGTTTGGAAAATCTAGGCCAGGTTTGAAGGTTATTACTTGTTAAAGCATACATAGTCTCTTATATTTATTTATTTCCGTTTTTTGACCAAGTGCAATTTAACTTATAAGTATAATTACTCTTTCCCTTGTCATCATCTGAACATTTGTTCGTATTTTTTTTTCATGACAGTCATTTATGTTAAGAGTAGGACATGTCTTTTAGTATGTATAAGATTAATTCAGTCTTTGAATCTACAATTATTATTTTCTTATTTTGAGGCTGCAGTTAGGGTCGCTGGAGGGCAGTGTTACCATTACAACATGTTCAATGATTATTATTTCTTATAGTCATAGATATACACAATAAAAGAATTGTCACCCTCATTCCCATTGGTCGAAAGTTAATGATGAATTTAAGTCCATTAATGTCCATTTTACTTTTTCGGAAGATGAAAATAATCCTCCTCCTCCTCCTCCTCCGAAGAAGCACGATCGACAAGGCCAGGAGGCTGACATATTGGGACTGAGAGTGACAATTGCTTAATTGTTTTTTCCCTATGGAAATCAACTGTTGTGTATTATATCGGAAGTATATGGTGTTTAGGCACAAGATAGTTTAAAAAAAATGTTTTGATTGATACTGGCTTTCATATTAGCAGTGAAGATGAGTATTTCTTGATACATATATAGACCTGTCAATTTTTTATTCTATCCAATACATATTTTGAATTGTTAGTTTTGTAAATGGCACAAAACAATGCATGCTTTCAAATTATCTTTGTCGTTTTTTTTCTCGGAATACCAAACAGTTGATTGGTACAGTACAATCAAAAGGATTTGTTAAGCATTTATACTACAAACTGTATTCATTATCATTCTATCATTGTCCTGCGTCACATATATAGCTTGGTGTTGATCATGTTATCTTTTCACCTGTTTTTATTTTTTATGAGTACCCATCCAGTTTATGAGGAAGTGGAATTATTTCTACAAAAGGACTATGAAATGCTTTTATGCATTTATGTTTTATTTCCGATTTCAAAGTTTTCAAGTATTCAGTAAAATTCTAGCTTACATTGTAGTGCAATATTATTGTTATTGTTGTCAATGTGTAAAACACATGTGTAGGCATTGTAGTACAAGTCTATACTACCTTTATATCTTTACCTGTCGTTATTTTGTATTTCTTTACTGACTCTTCACAGATTCACGTTCACATTAATCACCTTTGAAGTTATAACAGTTACCCATTATAAACCTACACCGAACAAGTAAAATAGACGTAACTTAAATTCATCGTTAACTTTCGTCCTTGAAGAAGGCCATGATGTTCAGATATTGGTACTGAGAGTGATAGTTGTTTTATTGTATTTACTGATTCATACACCCATATCTGTTATGTTACTGACATCATCGATATATCTATTGCTGTATAAAATACACATGCTTGTATATTAGACACTGACGCACACGTCCAAATTACTCTTTAAATTGAACTGCATTTCACTCTAAAATGTTATTAACATCATAATGTTTGGAATAGCAACGAATAAAGGTTGTGATGCAATTATGTGAAATTCGTTTTCAAACAGAAGCTTTTGGAAGGCATTGCTATTAAAATATAGGAAGTCTAGATTATTACAGGCACATTTGTATGTAACAATGATGCTGTAATTGCTCGACGGGGCTCACCTGATCATTGTGCCCAGATGTTCCTGCAAGTCGTGTGGTGTACACTTGCAGCGTTTGTGTTGAATACAATGTATTTTAAAGAGAAAGTCTTTTACTATTGATGCGAAAATGACCAGGTGTACACGAGTAATAAACATTAAAATATTGAACAGAATTCTCAGTATTTTCCAAAAGTCGTTCGATGTTTTTTAAGATTTTGGCACTTGTACCGATTGGAAACCCATTTTGTACATTGTTTTTTTTTTGTGTCCTGTGTTTTGCTGATTTAATTTTTCGTCTTTACAAAAATGTACCAAAACATCATATCCTTCGGTACCGAAACATCTAGACTTCAAACAAACGTCCCGACGCAGTTTTACTGTTTATTATTACATATTTCATTTAGCTGTCAAATTCGGAATCTACGGGAATTCGAATCGATTGAAGGTCTATGCGTCTTTCCTCTTATCAGTTTCGGACATATATATATAT